GCTTCTAATTGCCTAATCACCAATTAAATTGAATTAGAAACCTAAGTTAAACCTTGACGAAGGAAATTTAGGTAGACTTTGAATAGAATAGCGTATGATCGAATACACTTAGTTGATTAGGTGGTTTGATTTGCATATAAGATAGACATACACATTTAAGTCATACGTAGCTAAAATTAGGGCAAAAACTTAATAAATCTTTCTTCAATATAATTTGTATAGACATATGATAAATTAATTGAGAGAGATATTTTTATGAGAAACTTGACAGAGGCTTGTAAATAACTTAGGACTATAGGTTAGCAACTTAATCCATAAAACTGAGTTAAGAAAAAGAGACAATAATTAGATAAAGTGTTGAGAGACATCATTACTATTTAATTTTAGTTTCAGTTTATTAGTTTTAATTTTTCTCTTTTAAATTTAATTGTTTAGATAAGATTAAGCTGTTATAATTTTAGTAGTTAGCAATTAAAGAATTAATTCAATTCTTTCTGAGAATGAAATCTATTTATTATTATATTACTTGTTAGATACATGCACTTGCGTAAGAAATCAACAACAGAACCCCGCTCGCTAGCTGTGAAAAAATTAAGAGTCATCACTAATATTTTTTATCTAGGTGTGATTGGTCACTTATTAAATTTGTTTCATTCGATAAAGTCTTAAATTGATTTTAGGTCCGTTTAAAAAATAATAACGTGGTTTGTAAATTTTTAAAGTTGGGTTCGAGAGTACGGTTATGCACAAGAAAGAATTAACACCCCATGATGCCTATTTCACGAACGTTACCATTTAATCATATATTATCCTATTATAACTTAAACCATTGATTTTATTTTTATGTTTCCCTAACTATTGCTTACTTATTTTATTAGCAAATTTAAACATTTTATTCAACTTTATGGGCGTGACGTGTATATGATGTAATTATGAAATTCATGGCATAAAGTGTAGATAATGCTAAATGAAAAATTTTTGTTGAGGATATTTTTCAAATCCGCCCATCATATTGATGAGATATGGGGATATTCTCTCACTTAGGGAAATACTTAGGAAACTCGCATTCACAAGTTTAACGAGTGAATCCCATCATTGAGTAGTCATTTGTAAGTTAAGAAATAATCATTTCATGAATGCAATCCTTAAGGAGCAAAAGTTTTTTATTAACGACATTTTTCAAACTCTCCTATCATACTGGTGGGACTCAAATGCATCCTTTCACCTAGAGAATTTTTTGAAAGAACTCACCTTGACAAGCTCCCTCAAAAAGTCCCATCGTTGGGACATTGACTCATGTACACAATACGTATACATGCCATGACATTTAACAATATAACGATAATGCGTGATATGCCTATAAATTTCAATATTTGTTTCTTAACTTTTTCGCAACTCTTTTGTTATTTCTTTAAAAATTATTTATCTATATATATACTTATATATCATGAATAAATATTTTGTTTTTATCTAATTTTATTTTATTACATATTTTATATATTTAAGTATTTATCTATTTGGCTATGTATATTTTTCTTTTACCTAAATGCTATTTCTTTAACCAAATATTTTATTTTTGAATTATTATTATTTATGCATATATTTTTTATAACTCAACTTCTTTTCTAAATTTTTTTATTAACTTAACCTATTTTCTTTTTGACAAACTATTTTTCCATCTTCTCTCATAAATCTATTTTTTATAACTAAATATTTGCCTCTTATATTTTAGTTATATCCATTATTACTCTGAGTTTATTATCTTTGAAAATTATATCTTCACTATCATGAATACCATTATTTTTCATAACCCCATATATTTTAAAACTATATATATTTCATCTATTCCCTCTTATTATTATTATTATCATCATCATCATCATCACCATTATCATTACTTCGTTATTTCTTTTTGTTTCTATGTTTCTTCTGTATGATTAGTAATTAATATAATGCATTTTTCATTTACTTAGGATTATAATATCAAGACTTAAAATTAAAACCCTCCCATCACACTAATGGGGTTTTAATTGAAATCCCTTATCTAGTAAAATTTATTTAGGATTGTAACTTCACACATTCCGAATAAATATTTCATCATCTATATAGTCTAAATAACACGTTTTAGTATTTACTTATTTATTATTTACTTATTTATTATTAATTTTTCTATCCCATCTGTCTTCTCTTTATGTACTTATACAACCTTTGCATAGCTAAATATTGTATCATCCTTTTTATCTATATATATTTTATATAACTTGCTGTTTTTAGTTCTTCTATTTTGTATATTCCACTTAAACATATTGCATATAAATAGATTTTTTTATTTTTTATAATTTCTATATCTTCTATTCTATCTAAGTGTATTTGTCTTTTATCTTTTTGTAATTCTTATTTTACTTAAATATGTATTTTTTCACAACTAAATATTTTATACTTACATAATTTTACTTTTACCTAAATATATTTCGTAACTAACTATCTTATCTTTTTAATTTTTATTCTGCTAAAATATTTTTTCATGACTAACTATTTTAATATTTATATTCTATATTTCATAGAAATGCTTTCTTTCATTTTTTTATTTTTCAAAGCTAATATTTGGGCTCAAACTATGTCAAGACCATGAAGGGAAACTCATTATATAATGCCCAAAGTAACAGCCGACCATTGTAACAAATAATGCCCAAATCAGCAGGCCATATAACAATAGAAAGATCATGCCTAGCTTGGGTTCAGAGTAAGCTAAGGACTTCAAGGCTTCTCGTAAAGTGTGGGCTCAGATCAGCCCGTTCCACAAGTTTTCCAGACCCAGGATATGTTGTTAGGTACCATGAAAATGAAGCCTTCCCCTACTACAAAAAAAAAGAAAAAAAGAAAAATCGATGTCTTTTTAATACTTGGCAAAAATGGCATCGTTTAAATTAAAAACCCAACTATTGAAACCCTCCTTCCTCACTTCTTTTCCATTTTTGCTTTCTATTTTCTCTCTTTAGCTAATCGGCCTCAATCCATTCTCTCAAAACTCAGCTTCCTTTTTTTGTCTTTCAAACCCAAATACTAACCCTACCGGTCTCCCTTAAAACCTTAATTACTACCATCAACACCTCCCTTCTCCCTCTCCGCCAAAACCTCACTCCCTATTCTCACTAACCAAAACCCTACTGATCTCTCTTCCTCAAAAACTATTTCCCCAAAAGCCTTAAAACCCATTTCACTTACCAGGGGCTGTCTCTTATTTGTTTTTTAGATTTTGGTATTTTTTTTTTTATGACTGGTATTGTGTCGGTTGGTAGAATAGAAAAGTTTATGGGTTATGTCGATTTGGGTTCACGCATCTAGCAAGGCGTTGGTACTCGCAAGGGTGCAAAATACACCTTTGTTGTGTTAAATGTTAGGAATTATGCTCTTTCAACGACGTGTGTACTTAACCGAAGGTTTTCACATAAGTCACTCAATATTCAGTTATATCTAATCAAATATTAATAATAACAATAAATCAAATTAAAATAACTTATATCAAAATCAAAAGGCATATGAATATCATATATATAATTACTGAATTATAAAAAATATTTTATTAATATAAAATTAATTATAAAAAAATTAAAATATGCTATCGTCCAGTTATAAGATTTTATAAATATTCTATCAATAGTTATTACAAACTTTGAAATAAAAATATTTTTTAAAAAAAGCCTTTCTCTTTTAAAGATTTAATAAATATTTTTAAAAGTGTCACCACGAGCCATTACATTATTTGAAAGAGAAATATTTTCCTTATAAGTACAACAGACTAAATCTAAACAATTTTATCTTAGTATAGTCAGATACAAAGTTAGCTCATGACACTAGGTATGGATTTGTCGCCATGCCCAACTGGCTTCCTTTTTTTCTTTTTCATTTTTCGTTTTATTTGTTTTTTGTTCTTTGTACTTCCAGAATGTTATTCATTTTAATTAGCTTTAATCTTTGTTGATTTAATTCTATATAGCTTGTTTGATCTGTTTTAAATCAACTTAGTTACATTGGGACTGTTTTTGCTGTCAGGTTTAGGCACTTAGTTCAATATTTGGACCCCAATAAATCCTCATTTTAAACCCAGTAAAGCCCAAAGTTGTTGGAGGCCAAGGAAACTCAATTTCGAATTTGGGCTTGACATTGATCCATGATAAAAAATAAATAAAATTAATAATAATAGCAAAATAAAGATAAAACCGGGACAATAAGAATCAGATTTAAAATAAATAAATAACAAAATCAAAATTAACAATAAAATAATAAATAAAAATATGGTGTCTACAGTAACTGCTTGGAAGTTCCTGAGGATACCAAGGTTAACCAATAACCCCGAGCAGCTGTGCCGACGTCCTTACCCATCTTTTCTGTTTGTCACCATTTTTCTCTACCTTTTGGAGACTAATTCAATCACAAAATGACAATGTAAGCCTTGTTCCTTTGATAATTGAAGCCGGCCATTACCCTTTCTTTATGTCATAATACGCTGTTAAATTAAACAATAGTTATTTGGACAATGTATGTCTAGCCTTTTCAAAATCAGCACATAAATTCATATGGGAAACTCCATTTGTATCCAGAACCTTTCCCATCACTAAAAGACATAAGCTGTCATGCACCTTATAGCCATTTGCCCTGTGTACATCCGGAGTTCCAGTAATTCCAACACTGTCTCTACCTGCCTCTCGTATAAATTTTCAACTACAGTATAGCTTTATATCAATGCTCTTTGCTGCAAATTCTATAAACATTGCCTGTTCTTGTCTAATTCATTACTACAACTCCCATATTCTCTTTTGGTTTTCATGGATTTGTGGGTATACAACCAGATTCCAAGTTCACCTGCAGAGAACATTCCTTCAAAGCAAAAGAAAGACACAACAGATTAGGTCTCCCAGGTTAACGCATGTTTATATAAGATCAATCGTCCATACCCTCCGTTCCTTTAATGGTATATCTCACCTTTAGTTCGTCCTTCAATGACTGTGGCTCAGGTTCACATGGGTAAGGCTGCTGTAGATTTATCTATATCTATACGGCTGAAACATGAATCATTTTCCTCCATGATACATCTCTTTCTTTTGTTTGCCACCCTAGACGTTGTGTTTTCTCAGACTTCAGTAGGTAATTGCATTCTTGATATCAAAAGCTCTTCCTCCACAAAAGAATCAAATTGTGAATTGGGCAACTGGGGTGGTTTCATCAACGACAGTTGTTGTGGAGGAGCCTTTGAAGAGTACCTTTATGCATTGGGGCGGCAGGCAAACCTTACGAAAGCCATTTACCTAAATTCCACAGAACAAAACAACTGCTTAACAGTAATGGAAAGATTTGAGAAACATATATTTGGCTGTGGCATTCAGAAGCTAACAAGTGGTGCTGGTGGCTGTTCTGATTATACTGTCACGGATGTTGTTGATAAGCTAGGAGCTAGATTAAAACATTTACAAGAAGACTGTAAGACGTTAGGCTCTGGTGGCAGACTGAATCAATCCTGCGGTACATGTTTGAGAAGATGGGAAGTGATTGGCGGATCATCAGACTACAAACAGGAGTCTGCTGATGTGTGTAGATTTGCAGTACTGGTGTCCATGATAAGCTACAGAATTGATGATGAGAACTGGGTCTATGCAGTATTTCAATGCCTCAGAGAGCGGGCTTTTTCCTTAGGTAGGGCACAATTTAACAGCCAGATACTTCTCAATCCCGTATGTTTCCTTTCTTTTTTTAAATTCTTCAATGTAATTGGCAATAACATGGACACATTATAACCATGCATATGACTACTTCATGATTCAGTTCTTGTTGTGAGTGGATAACTTCTTCTTTCTACGTTGCAGATGAACATGGAGGCAGAGATCGCCTAGGTATCAATAGGGCAGGTAGTCTCTTCAACAACAATTATCACCACTCCATCTGAGTTCTAATTCTTGATGTCTTAAATAAGTGCAAGTTTATTATTCATTGACATATTTATAATTTAATTGATCATAATAGGTTTGTGGATTCTAATTGGTGGGTTAGTGGGAGCTATGGTAGTTGTAGCCATTGCTGCGTGGATCTTCTTCGGAAAAAGGAAAGAAGAAAGTCTCCCTGCTCGGAAAGATGGTAGTTTTCTTGCAAAATTAGTTCAACCAGGCTAAAAACAGATTACTAATAGCAATTTCTCATCATTGTCTTCCTTTTTTGACAGAATCGGATGATTCATTCTCTGAGCAGTCTGGATCGCTGAAGATTTCGATGAAAGAACTTTATTCAGCAACAAACTACTTCAATCCTTCAAACTTCATTGGCCAAGGCATAGCTGGTTAGAACCTACCTACAATTCATTATCTAGGATCTATTTCTAATTCAAGATTGATGGCTTAATTGAAAAAATGAATTGGGAATATGTTAGAATATATTTAGGTCCTAACAAACTAACAATACAAGGAGATAAGGAATGGGCTGCAGCAGATTCAGCCACCACTTAAAAGGCTAAACAATGTTTTCAAAGGATAAGCAACATGCATCGAACTATGTTTATTTATAGCATACACACCAAGGCTTGCGCATGCATTTTTCATAAATATTTAATTGCAATATTGTGATAAACATAAAGGTGAGTGCTGCAAAATATTTCCTGGCTGAAATGCCAACTACAAGATGCTGAAGGATTGATGAAGATCTGTATTGCCATCGTGTTAATCAAGTCTTTTACTTTTGCTGTAGGAAATCCTAAGAGAGGTAATACTTGAGTCATAGTCACTGTCGGTAAAACAGAGTAGATGCGGATTAACATTGAGAAATCATTGTTTCTTGGACCTATAGAATACTGGTTTATGGTTGATGCATGAGGTTCTAGGACAAATTCATCCAATCCTAATGTTTGACACAGCAAATAAGCACAAGAACGCTTGAATTAAGCAATGTTTTTTTTCCTTCCTTCAGATGGAGATCTCATATCCTGATTTTATTCTGTTATGACCAGGAAAGGTGTATAGGGGTCTTCTCTCAAATGGTCTGCATGTTGCGGTTAAGCACATAATCAATGATGGACAAATAGAAACTTTTGTCAGGGAAGTTAGAAGCCTATCTCATATCAGGCATCCAAACCTTGTAGCTTTGCTTGGCTATTGTGAGAGAGAAGATGAATGCTTCCTAGTCTATGAACTGTGCCACAATGGGAACCTCTCAGAGTGGCTGTATGGTATGTGGACTTACAGTATATACTGTTTTTGTTGCATGAACAACTACTCACACAAAGATATGGAGCAGGAAAGGATAAAGTTCTGTCATGGATTCAAAGACTCAAGGTTGCAATGGACAGTGCAAGGGGCCTCTGGTTTCTCCACACTTATCCAGAAGGCTGCATTGTTCATCGTGATATCAAGGTAGATTCAAGATCGAGGAATCCACTATTCCTTATCTCTTTCTATAGTTAGTCTTCTCTAATTTTGGTACATGATGGTGTTTTGGCAGCCAACAAATATCCTTATCAATGATAAATTTCAAGCAAAACTTGCAGATTTCGGATTGTCTAAAGTTATGGACCTAGGTCAATCCCATGTAAGCTCAGAAGTGAGAGGAACATTTGGTTATGTCGACCCTGAGTACCGTCGAAACAACCGAGTGAACGCCTCTGGTGATGTTTACAGTTTTGGTATTGTACTTCTACAACTTTTGTCAGGGCAGAGGGTGCTTAATCTGAACCTGGACAGACCATTGCCTCTAAGTAAAATGGTAACTGACAATATCCACTCCGAAATTTAATACATTTCCTTCCTTCCGATTACTAAGATCCCTAATGCATTTTCCTATTACTTCTCAGGCAAAAAACCTCACTAGAGGGGGTGACATTACCAAATTTGCAGACCCTAAACTTAACGGGGAATACCCATTAGAAGCCTTTGACCTCGTACTCAAGCTAGCTTTGTCATGCACAGGGATAAAGCAGGAAAGGCCAACCATGGAGCAAGTGGCATTAATACTACAAAAAGCACTTAATATCAGAATACAACCAAAGCCAGTTGCATCCCGTGGAACAATCATATATTAAAGTTCTAAAAAAGGGAATTTTAAATGGACGAAAATCTTTTATGTTTATAGAAAGTGTTTTAGACAAACTGTACCACAATCTTATTACTAACATGGAAAAAGAATTGCACAACACAGCAGAAGCTGTTTACACATATTACTCATAAGGAATGAGTTTTACATTACTGTGTATTATACTCTAATGACATTATTACCAACAATCTGTAAATAAAATTACAATGCAACAATACTTTTATTTTTTTTTTTCACGCAGCTTCATAAAAAAGGCAGAAGCTGAGTGGTTAAGCTCTTCAAAAAAACCGAGCTAATAAAGAAAGCAAGCAATATACACACTTGCGTGTATTTACAAGGAAATTAAAGATCGCAGGAATGGACCAAAAAAAGAATCAATAAATGAAAACCCGAAAAATTTGGGTTACCAGTTACCGTATGTGAACGAATCGTTCTCGTGGAAGAAGTGGAGTCACCGAAGCTGAGGAGCTCCTTTCATAATACCCATGCAGAATCCTGATGAGTGCACTGGCCTTTTTGCTAGCTCGAGATGTACCTTCACTAAGTTGGGAATACAAGGATCCCATGAGAGAAGGATTCTTGACCAAACGAGCAACCACATCTAGACCGCCATTTACACATAGGGCCACCAGCAAGGAAACGCAATACTCCTTCCCTGTCCTTGAAGTGGAGGTATTTAAAATCCCCACTAACAATTGCAAGGCCCCGCGGCGTAAAATTGCAACCGTCCCATCAACTTTCTCTGCTAGAGTAGCCAAAACTGCTAGAGAATCCGTTACAAGATCCTGCCTTTCCGAATCTTTCAAAAGATTCAGCAACAAAGGAACAACCCCAGCTGCAAGAACCCTCCAGTGATTCCCGGGGTGCACTAGAAGCCCAAAAACCGCAACCAATGCATTCCTTTTGCAACGATCATTTCCCTTCTTAATCAACTCCACTAAACCTGGAATAGCCTCTGGGTTTTCACCAATCAAAATCCTGTTCTCCTCAACCGAAGCAAGATAAAACAAGGTAGCAGCGGCATGTTGTTGAGCTTCAACCTTACGTCCCTTTCTTAAAACATGAACGATCAAATCCAACCCTTCATTCTCCACCATAACACCCTTGCTTTTCGAATGCTTGGAAAGATTCAAGAGCGCGGCAATGGAGTTTTCTTCGGTGTTAGAATCTTTAGACATCAACAGCTTCAATAAGTGTGGGACCGCGCCGGCTTCAACCAAACAAGACCTGTTAAAAATGCTTGTTTTCGTAAGAACCCGAATCTCAAAAGCCGCCTTGTTCTTCTCTTCAACACTTCCGTTTACAAGTTTGTTAACCAGAAAACCCCCCAACATCTTCACAGCTCCTTCTCCCGCCAAACTCCCCGCCATGATCGACCTCGAAATATCCCGATTCTTCCGGCTGGATTCGGCAACCACGACGCCGTTTTTAGCACAATACCGTTGGATCACCCCTTTCAAGACAAGATTCGGAACCAGTTCCGTACTGGTAAGTTTCTCGCCCGTCTTGGGACACGTGGCGTTCCCTGAACTGAACCATTTCAAAATCGAACAACGATCATAGGTGTGTCCCGTTGACAAAGTCACTGGATCTGACATCATCTCCCATGAGATCGGACATTTGAGATCATCACCGTTGATCCCTTTAAGAGATTCGCTGCTGTTACATTGGCCATCGAGATGTTGACTTTGAAAGTCAATGGAGTCGAAGATTACACCTCTGCAGTAGCTCATGAATCCCATTAAGCTACTCAAAAGCTCTAATTCTTTTTTATTTCCTCTATTGGAAACTTCGATTTCAATTTCTGAATTCAAGAATTTCACCTCCTTATTACAATCGCTCCATTTTGTAATGCCGAGATGATCCAAGATCCGTTTGATTTCAATCGGGTCGGGTGAGCTTCCTTCCTCGAAGCGGTGCAGGATCCGCATGAGATCTTTCACGGCTTTCTTATCTTCCGGATCAGATTCGAAAGTTCCCTTCCTAGCTTGCCTTACGATTAACTCAACCAACTCCTTGGCTTCGTTTGACAAGTCAACGGTTGGAAGAGGGAAAACATCCAGACCCGTTGCCATTGCCCCGATCAGGATCCGGAAGTGATTCGCAACCCCATCCGAATTAACCAGCATCCATACTCGAGACCCGTTGCAAGAGCAGTCTTCCAGTAGGTATCGGAACTTCTGAAAAGTCAGATGGAGCTCCGAAAACCTGAGGATGACCTGTTCAGGTGTATCCGACGTGGCATTTCGGATCTCCTCGACGATAAGGAGAAGGTTCGTGATTTGACGGAACGTTTCGCGTGCATTTCTCTTGTTGGTGGATAAAAACTTGGATTTGTAACTGCAAATGTCTCGACCAAGATCGATTAGAGAGTTTAGAAGAGTAAGTGGAGAAATGGAGTGGCAAGGATGTACCGCCGGGTACGTGAGAATCCGGCGACACGACCCGTTTAATTTTTGGATCATGTAGTAGAAATTAAACCAAAAAAAAAAAGGAAATCTAAAAAGCGAAGGAGGTGGAAACAAAAAGCTTGGTTTTGACTTTAGTGACTAGATATACTTTTTGGATTTGAGTTTCTGTTTTTAGGCAGGTGGGCGCCGGGTATATATAAAAGCGGTGGAGGAAGGGGACTGAACTTGGACACGTGTAAGAAGATTAGTAGATGGGAAGGGTTACGCTGCCAGTAGTTGACGGATGGGCACATGGGGATGTTGGAGATGGGGGAAAGGCTGCTTCATGGATACTTTCGAGCAGTGCATGAGCTAATAGGGATCCGACACGTGGTCCTGAATTATGGAATGGCTCGTGGCCGAAGGTACGCGAAGCGGAGCAGTCGACATGGCCTGGGAGATTCTTTTAAAAAAAGGTTTAGAATTTTATTTTATTGATAATAATTGATATTATTATGAAGCTAATAATTCAGTTTTAGTGAGTATATAAGATATTTACAAATGTTCATTTATTTCGAAATGGCGACCCATTCGGGTAGATATTGTTAGAAGTTGGATTCGAGGGCCGACTTTTATTGGTTGTGGGGTGGTAGGGTAAGGATAGAAACGTTCCATTATGAATTTAGATTGGCTTTGACTTATATAGCTATAGCTATTTGGATAGGCTTGTCCAATTGACCAAAGGATCAACTTAGGTTATAGAAATATTGCAAATGACTGAAGCCTGTAGGAGCATTCCCAACCTAAACAGCTTTTGTTTATTTAAAGTTTATAATATTTGATTTAAGATAAGATACACGCATACTCTACTATTATCATACATCATATAATTAAATTTGTTAATAAACCTTAGCGTCAATGATATAGTAATTAAGTTTTGATTCATTCATAATATATAAAATTATATGTTGATTGTATATCAAATATATATACTTGTTTATTGATTAACTATTTTCAAGTTAGGAAATTTTAATCAAATTAGTAAATTTTACTAATTAAATATGTACTTGTTTCTTAATTCAAAAAAATTTAAATAAATCTTTATTCTTTAATTGTATTCAATTAAGTCTTCATACTTGTATTTCAAGTCAACTAAACCCTTCTTAATAATGATTGATTAATTATTGTTAATAAAAATATCATTTATCATTTTATATCTACGTCACATTGATATGATAATAATGTGAAATGTGAAAAATATTACATTATTATGTTATTATGTCACATTTAACATGTCATGTTATTATTAATTATAATATGTTAGCATATTATGTCATCATTATCGTGTGGTATAAAATGACAAATGATATTTTGATCAAGTCAACTATTAATAATAAAAATTTATTTGATTCAAAATAAAAATTATAAAAATTTATTTAACTTAAAATAAAAATATAGAATTTTGATTGAACGTATTAAGAGAATAAAAGTTTATTTGAATTATTCTAAAAAGTTTAGAGAATTTTTTCAAATATTATACCTCTATATATATAATTATTGTTTATTGAAGGAGTTTGATGATCAACTTTGAGCTTGTTGGCTAAGCTCAACAATTAAGCTTGAGTGGGTTTTAATAGAAATTGGTTTTGTTTCAAAAAGATTTGTGTCTAAGAAAGACTCAACACCCACAAAATTACAAAGAATTGCAGCCCATTGGGTTAGAATTCGGCACTTAGGACCCCGGAATTGGACATACACGAGCACTAAGATTTGGATAGTTACATCTATGTTTGTATGTGACAATAATAAGTCACTTTCACATGATAATTGTCACTTGTATAAAGTATTTTTATTTTTCACTTATATTAAAACTTTAAGAGGTAATTTTAGAGTGAGATTTCGATTAAAATTTTAAGTTTGAGTGGTTATATACCTTTCTATTGTTTTTACACCTCATCTATTTCTATATCTATAATCTATTTATCCTTGTTTTTTCTCAGCTATGTTTTATCTATTTTGCTATATATTTATATATAATGTGTAATATATATATAAGTAAGATGTTTCTAAAAATTTTAATTGAAGAAAAGAAACATATTTGTTATTTACTACTAATTGGTCATTTTAAATATTTTTTAGTTATAAATATTAATAAAGGTTACTCAATTTGTAAATTCTATCCAATATGCATATAAGAATTTTAATTGCATTGAATAATTTTCATTAAAAAATATTGTTTAATCCTGATAGATTGAATAATTTATAAACAAGTACTGCACAATTCAATGATTTATATTTCAAAAAATATAACTTAAAAACAATTTTATTTATATATAATTATTTTTTAAAATAAATAAAAAACAATTTTGTAATTTAGAATATTTTTATTTATACATAATTTATTAATAAATGAAAAATAAGGATTCATATGTTATTCGCGTGACAGCAAATATTAGTATATATACAAACATAGATGTCGGTAAAAACATGTTATTGACAAAAACAAGCATTTTTATTCATTAAAATTTTAATTTTCATTTAATAATTTTTATTATAAATATTAATTAATAAGATTAATCCAATTTGTAAATAAGAATTCCGACTGCATTTAATGACTTTCATTAAAATATAAAGATATTTAATTTTAATAATGTAAAATAATTTATAGATTAACATTTTAAAATTTTGATTGTTAATACATCAAACTTTATACTTTAAAAATTTATATTTATATATAATTATTATTTAAAAGTAAATTAAAAATATGTATGGAATTTTGCATGAGTCTTTTATGAATAAAATTTGATTACTCGCCTTAAAGCAACGTTAAGTCTTAAACATTTAACTTTTTACATTTTTACTATATGATTTTTGTTTTCAAAAACAAAAACAAAAAGGTAAAAGGCACGTTTAGATACAAAAATATATATATAATTTTTGAAAAATTATATACAAAATAGGTAATTTTTGGATAACAAAGTGATGCATTATACTTCTATATAGACTAATTATGTTATTATTAATATTACGTTTAATTATTTATTCATTTAAAATTGATTATGATTACTACTTTTGACCTTTTACTTTATATTATAATAATTTTTAAAAAATAAAACTATCAACCAAACAGACTAAAAAGATTTTTACTTCCCCATATGTGTGTTCTAACTGAATGATTATTCATTGAATTCGAATGAGAATTCATCATGTGTTCAGAGAATAATTGCTCAAGAGAGCTTCAAAAAGTAGGTGAACATAAATACGATGCCAATATTTTCATTATAAATACTGTTGGAAGAAAAAATTAAGTTGAGAGCATTATCACCTTCAATGAATCAGTTTTGTCCTGATAATATATTGAAGAAAATTAAAAAATAAATCTGATGTTATTAAAATTATTGCAGTAACTTTTAATTGTTTAATATCTAAAACAACCTTAAAAATATAAATACCCAGAAATTATTAGAGTTTATTTTTTTCATTTTTTTTTGAAAGAAAAAGCTGAACACTTTCCAAATTGAATTAAAAAATTTTATTTGTACAACAAAATTGCCCATCTGATGTTTATAACGATTTGCTTCCGTTCAATCTTATTATCCCAATGAAGTCCTTAACTTCTTCTTTTCTTCTATTTTGAGCATTTCTTTTGAATAATTCAAGCAAGAATCCTACACTCTACTTTCCCAAATGTTCTCGATGTAAGGACTCCACAGCAAAAGATGCAAATTGTATATTTCACCAAAACCAACATCAGCATACATACATGGCAATCTCAAAATTTGTGGGTTTTGCCATTTTTATCCCAATATCCCAAGCATTATGAAATCATTGATCTACTCTTTCCACTTAAGTTGGATTCTTAAGAAAAAAAAAAATGATTTAGAGCTTGATGTGCTGCGAGACGTTCAGATGGATCATGTTCATTAAACCTTCTAACAGGTCTGCAAGTGAATATCTTGACCTCTCTACATGTTGTGATGCTATATTCTTCATACGATCAAGCTCCAATTTATTATAAAGCCTTTCCGAAATTATTTTTCAACACTCTGATTAACCCTTCAAATCATATGCTCAAGAGGTCCTAAAACCCTTTCCATCATTGCCAAATGCTCCAAATTTTCATGGATCTGAAATAATGCTTCACTCATGCAGAGTTCAATATGGATGCAACCAACAATCCATAGATCACATGGAAAACTCCAACCTGTACCTAGAATAACCTCATAGCTCTATAATGCCTTACAGAAACAATGCAGCTATGATTTTGATTACCAAATGTAGTACCACCAAGTCAATTAGCTTAATGGCACTTGACTTTGACAAGCACTTAAAATGCATTCCATCTAAAGAATTCCTCTTGTAGCCAGAAAGCTTTACATATTCAGAAGATAAAAGAAAAAATATTTTCTACTTTCAAGTCAGTGAGGATTAAGTGTAAATCATGCATAAATGCTACAGATTTCAAAAGCTGATGTCCAAATTCCAGAGCAAGATCCACAAGAAATGAACAGTATTTATTTCGCTTTTGAAAATAAAATTAACTTGGTCCATGCTTCTCAAACACGATACAAATGTGATTGTGGCAATCAAACCAATTTCGAATCTACCCATAGCGTGAAGTTCCTTTATCATTCTTAGCAAGATGTTGAAGTATATCAACTTTAATCACAACATACTTTCATGTTTGACGATCCCAACATTCAAAAACTCGGCCAAATGTGCCTTCACTCATCTTACTAAGAAACACCACCAAGTTATTTATTTTTTAAGACTTTTGCTAGTTTTTAGTTGATAATATTTTGACACAATTTTATTTATTAAGAATAACTGGTAGATGGTTTGGCATGTAATAAAAATGTTAAATATTTCATATTTTATTTATGTTTTAGTATTTAGAATTGTTGCAATTAGATTTTTAATTTCACTTGCATCAATTTATAATTGGTAATTCACCGAGTAGATGGAAAGATAACATTTTTAAACAATGAATTAAAAGAGGTACATGCAACAATTGGTTCATTGTTTCAAGGCAAGAGCATAAGATATGTAAACTTGTAAAACCATTATATAAACTTATACAAGCACCAAAATGATGACATATTAAAAATTGATGAAATGATTTTAGCTAATGACTATAAAATAAATGAGATTGATAAGTGCATATATAGCAAATTTCAAAATGGTAAAGTGCTATAATTTTCTTTGTATGTAGATGGCATGCTAATATTTGGCACGGATTGAAGAGACAAAGAAACTTTTGTCAAATAATTTTGCAAAGAATAAAATAGGTGCAGTAGATGTTATCTTAAGAATTAAAATATTCTAAGATAAAAAATAATCTAACTTTGTCACAATCTCATATAAAAAAAGTACTTAAAACGTTTGATTTTATTTATTGTATTCAATATCTATACCTATAGATCTTCAAATAAACTTTATGTCTAATGGTGGTGGGATGGTAAATTAATTGTAATATGTAAAAATAATTGGTTGTCTAACGTATGCAATAACGTGGACAAGACCATATATATCATTTGTTGCTAGAAA